GAATCTGGATCATCTCATGATCATCATTTAGTCCAGCCTGAATAATAAGTGCCTGGAATGTCCATAGCAGTATGGCTTCTTCCAGCTCTTCCCAAGGCAGCTGATCTGGCTGTTGTTGTCTGGGGTATGCTGTTGTCCTAAAACTGTGCATCTGGTGTGCTGTTAGTGTTCCCAGAATGGTAGCAGTGGCTCAGCTGTGGTTCAGGTGTTATTTCCCTTACAGATGGCTTTGGGGACAGAATAGAAGCAACTGTTTCCATTGATTCAGGCATGGGCTTCTTTACTACTCACTATTTATTCACTGCAGTGGGATATTTTCCTCTGAAACACCCAGACTCTCAGTCAGTATTTCTGCTTTAAATGGTCTGGATTATTTTATTTTATTTTTTTCCCCTCTCCAACCTTAGGAGCTTAGAGCTCTGAATAATTCCACTGATTTTGGTATGGAAATTATGTTTGCTTTTGGAGAGTAAGTGTGAACACTGGGTTCTTACAGCCCTCGCTTCAGTGTCAAAAGGCAGGATAGCAGTTTGCCATTAGTCCCTAAGCTCTGCTGGGAGGAATAGCCGAATCACTCTGAAAAAAGCGTAGGATGTGCAGCAAAGCTGTCTGCCAGAGATGGGTGCTTACTCAGGAGGTTGCATTGAAGAATCTTCTGGAAGAGGTTTAATTGATTAGGTTTTGTTACATTACTGAAGAGCAAAGTCTGAATGCAGTCAAGTAATGAATGGCATATTGATAAGAAATTCAGAGTGGTATTGTTTTTCATGGGTTTCCCTGACGGTTTCTATGGGGACAAAGACGCATTTCCCGTCCGAGTGCTGCTGCTGCCCTCTGATTGCACTTCTGTGGTTTCATTCACCAGTAATGGGAAAGCATTCATAGGCAGAATAGCTTCCCCTTTTTAAATAGCCATGATTCAGGGTTGTATTTTTTAAATGCATTAGACTAATGCAGTGTTTTATCAATGATCTGATAGATGCATAATGCTCTTTTTCCAAGTGCTTATTCAGGGTCTGCATTAAAACTTGAAATTATGTACTGTAATTACGTAAGCCATGACAAAAGTCTTTGTTGCCCTACAGTATGTGTACAAAGTGATTCTCATCCGGCTTTGGCAGTAGCTTGCATTTGAACTTTAGGGATTAATTTTGTTGCAACCATTTAAATGGTCAAACTCAAATGCTGATGCTTTTGGGAAGCTTCTTTTTTTTTCCTCTTGTGTGGGTCTTTCAGTTGACTGATGTGAGTTAATTATTTAGAGAATGAGAGTTTTTTAGAAATGTGACTTTTTTAAAAAAGTGAAAGATTTTTGTTTGTCCTTTTTCTGCTCTGGGATGGGAGGCACTTTGAAGCTGATTGTGATTTCACATCTCGGTGTTCTGTTTTGAATCTTTCTCCTTGCCTGCCAAGTGTTGAATTTAGGCTTGTCCGGTTACTCTGCAGTTGGATGCACTCTCCACCCTTTGCTGTGGAGGTTCTGTGTTCTCAGAAACTACTTGCAATTTTGAGGGTCTGTTTGTTGTTGTTGGCGTTTATTCTTTTTCCTGGGTATTTGATTTCAGTGCTTCCTCTGAGAGAGAGTGTGTGCGGGGGAGAGAGAGGTTGCTTCTCATCCAGCATGTCTCTGCATTTCTGTGTATTTAGATTTCCCTCTTCCCTGTTCCCCTCCACCCATCCACTCACCCTTCCTCCCTTCCCCCCCAAGAGCTAAAAAGCTCTCTGGCTTGCAGAAAACAGAGCTTTTTTAGCAATGCTTGAAATGCGGAGGAAGGGAAGACTAGTGAGAGCTGTAAACTCTTGCAGAGATGGGGTTCTGTGAGCTGGGAAATAGCAGCTTCTGGGCCAGGCTGCTCCTGTTTGAGAAAATGTGACACGACTGTAAAAAGGAGAGTGAGACTTGCTGTTTACACCTGTGTAGCACGGTCACAGACTGTGTTCTGTATGCAAGGCTTAGGTATGTGAAGTCGTCCATCACTGGTGAAAACAGGCTGGAGTGGGTCTCCCCAGCTCTGCTGCTGGCATGCAGATGGGGTAACACCCGAGTTGCTTTTGGTGGTAATTGGGAGGGGGAGAAGGTCACGCTGAGGCCATATACCTGGCAGTGCGTGTTCAAGAGATGCATGCAGCTCCTGCAGTTTGCAAGGGAAAGGTGTATGTGTGTAGAGCGGCATGTCCAATGCCATGCCTTAACTGGAGCATCACCTTGTTGTAGAGGAGCCGTTTCAGAACTTGTACCTTATACAGGAGGGTGTTACTTGTTGAGAGTTTGGGCACTAGTGAGGAGGAGGACCAAAGGCTGGTTGTGGTTTTGTTTAATTTGGGACCTTTTGTTTCCTCAAAGCCTGTCAACTAAGCAGGATGAAAAACCTGGTTTGAGTGTTTGCTTCATTTGGCCACAGCTTATGTAGGAGCAGGCAGATAAGGGCCAGCTGTTGTTACATTTGCTTACTTAAACAAAACCCACTGTAGCATGTGTGGAGGGCTGTAAGCTGCAGCACCTTGAAAGAAAAGCAAGGCAGGGATAAGGCTTTTGTGTGCTGCTTCTGGTTTATTATCGAAAAATGATTTCTGTTAGAGAAAAAGGTCTTTTTTTTTTTTTTCCTTTCTTTGACGCACCTTGCAGTCTGCTCTTTGAGGTTGTGTTCTGCATCCATTGTAGAAAATGAAAGATTAGGGAATTCCAGTAATTTTCTGTAATATAAAAGCTTCTCATTGAACTGTTTCTCCAGTTTTTTTGGCAGCTCTCTGAAATGTGAAATAGGATGGGAAAGTTTCAGTTTTTCCCTGCAATGTTGACACTGGGATGGCAGGGGAGCATGTGTGTGGGGTGAATTCCCTCCTGTAAGCTGCTTATAAACAGCATGCTCTGCCCCACTCCGTGTGTGTGTGTGTGTGTTCGGCTTCTGTTAGTGGGATTGAGTGAATGCTTTCCTATCTGGCAGTTCAGTGACTTAATGCATGTTTGAGTAGCTGGCCTCACCGTTTTATTGCTACACATACTTTTCTATGGAAAAACTGAGGTGGGCAATGCAAATGGAACCACAGCTTATGTCCTTGCCTTCCTTTTCATTTCCTCCTCTCTGGTTTCTGCCCTCTTTGGTGTGTTTTTTCTTCTGAGCATTACTTCTCGCTGCTTTTCCTATGTTGTGCAGGTGCAGGAACTTGTCAAAGCTGAGCATCGTGAATTACTTGTTCTCTAGTTATTTTCCTTCCTGTTTTGGACCCTCTGAGCTGTGTACAGAGGGAGATTGCTGTGGTATTGCTAATTGTAGTTAATTTTCTCCTTGCAGCCAGCTTCCTGTGTGAGGTATTGCTGCTGTAAAGTATTGTTTGAGTGCTAATGAGGTGGTTGTCCATAGCCAGGAGAAGTGCTGTTAGGCTGGCAATGGGTAATTAATCAGGAAGCAGGTGTGTTGTGCAAACCCTATCAGCATCTGAACTGGAGGAGAAAACACTGGCCTATTTAAGGAGAGAAGGAGCTGCCTTGACACACTATGCTTGGGAGCCAGGTATTCTGAATTCTGTATTTATGACTTCCTGATTTGACACACGTTGCCAAAGGGGCTTTCACCTCTGCTGGTAAATGTCTCTAGCTGTTGAAAAGGTCCAAGTGCCATTATGAGAGTTTATGGCACAGTTGCCTCTCGAGTACTCCGTGGAGTAGAATGCTCGTCTGTAGGTTCAGAGAAGATGGGGATGAGCTGCCCTGGAACCAAGTCTAAGCCAAAGCTGGCCCAGCTGTCTTTGCAGCTCAAGTCAATGTTGTCTTCAGTAAACATTTAAGAAACAGGGTTCTCCTTTTCTCTATTAATGACTGTTAAATGATGTGCTTTAGTCAAGAGACATGAGTACTGATTTCTGGGATGAAGTTCAGTCCCTGCCAGTCTGTCGTAAGGGAAGCATGGCCATGACAAGGGCCTAAGAGTGACCATACAGCCCGGTGAGATTGAGGGATGAGGTTGATTATACCCAAAGCTGAATTATGGTCCAGAGTTGTTGAAAAGAAAGCCTGCACCATTGCTAGGTCCCTCTTCCATCCAGATGCCCTGGACAAGTCCTGTTGTGTTGTAGAGATTGTGCTCTCAAAACCAACGATTGCTGGCAAATGCTTTAAAGGCTAATTGATAATTCTTTTGGATGCCTTTAACAGGGACAGATTTTTAAATACAGTTACAGATGCCAGCAGTGAGGATTAAAAGGAAAGAAAGGTTATGTTCCTCTACTGCTATGGCAGGCAACTCTGCATCATATTTTCTGCTCCTGTGTGATATCCATAAGGGAAGAAAATTCTCTTGCAGAGATAATTACTGCAGCACAATGACAAGTTCACAGTGCTTTGCAGGCAGGAGTTTGCAGTCTAGATAAGGCATCCCTGTCATCTCTCTGCAAGCCCTTTCCTAGCTTCTCTGTCGTTCCAATGGGAGGAGCTTCTCTGGTTCAGCTGGGTAGATAAACTTGCTGTTAATCCTGGCAGCATGCAGCTCACCCCATCTCTCCTTGCCCAAAGGACTATTTAGGAAGACTGAAATCCGATAAAATTCCTCTTCCTTAATGCTGGAATAAAGAAAAATGTTGGTTGGTCAGAGGGATGATTTAGGGTCAGAGTGATCATTTTATTCCCGTTGAACCTTGTGGAATTACAAGCAACTGCTCACTACTGTGTAGGTGTAAAAATAACCTCGTCAGGGCTAGGCTTGTATTTGGGCATAAATCCTACATTAAGGTACATTAAAGTGGAGCCAACACAGAAAACATCTTGAGGTTTATGTCTCCTTTTTGAAACTATGTCTATGTAAAATGTACCAAGCACATGAATATGACAGTTGCTTTTATCTTTTTAGGACTTTATTAATGAGTTTACTGGACATAACTGTATTTGAAATCTCATAGCTCTGTAAATGTATGGCAATGTTCCTCGTATGTCTGATTGTAGCAGGCAGGAATTTGTGTTTTGATGTTTGCTTACCTCAGTGATTTTTGTTTTCTTTTACCTGCAGGACTAGAGTGAAATTGGAAAGCCTAGAAGATGCTTATATTTTAAGAGGAAATGATGACTCTCTTTCTGATAAGCATGGCTGCCCAGCCTATGTGAGTCCAGAGATCTTGAACACAAGTGGCAGCTACTCTGGCAAAGCAGCGGACGTATGGAGTCTAGGTGTCATGCTTTATACCATGCTAGTTGGACGCTATCCTTTCCATGACATAGAGCCTAGTTCCCTCTTCAGCAAGATCCGTCGTGGGCAGTTTAACATTCCAGAAACTCTATCCCCCAAGGCAAAATGCCTCATACGTAGCATACTGCGTCGGGAGCCATCGGAAAGGCTGACTTCACAGGAAATTCTGGACCATCCATGGTTTTCTACAGATTTTAATGTATCAAATTCAGGATATGGTGCTAAGGAAGTATCAGATCAGCTGGTGCCTGATGTCAACATGGAAGAAGATTTGGACCCGTTCTTTAACTGAGCAAAAAGACTGTTGTTCAGAAGGTACACAACCTGGAGATGGACACATGAAGGAGCCCTTCCTGACCGTGTTAAATCACATCCTGCATCAGCCTAGCTTGGTAGCAAAAGACACTCAGAGGTCCTCAAATTGAGAAGGAACCTCTACAAGGAGCTAATATAACAAATGTAGCATGGGGACAGACTGGGGGGGTGGGGGGGAGCTTGCTATCAGGTTAGATTGATTTGGAGGAGAAAAGGCAGCATGGAGCAATTGTAGCTTCTCACCTTTTTGGAGCCAAGGAGACTGCACATGCCAATTCTGGTGCAGCTGTATCACTCCTGTTTCTGTTCCATTAAAAATAGTGGTAACTCACAACAAATAGAAACTTTTTTGCCTCAGCTCACATCTTGGCATCGCACTGTTAGATATTTAACTTCAGCCATTATTCAGGGAAAGTATAATTGGCTAACATTTTTTTTAATCAGATGTTTAATAATTAATGGGATTAATTTAAGAAAAAAATTAGGTGCACGAAGATGGACATGAAAAGTGGGTGCTAAAAACAAACAAAATTTCAGTTCATGTCTCTTGATAGCTATTTTCAACTCATTTCTTCTAAATAAACTACTTAATATTCTTGTCAGGAAATGACATTTTAATGCTTTGTTCCCTTAAGGGGAAGTAACTGTCATTTAAGAAGCTGTTCTGTTTTGTGTCAAATGGTTTGTTGCAGGAAGCTATTATAACTCAAACTTCCAGATGCATTACTGCTATAATGGGGGGGGGGGGGGGGGGGGGGGAGAGGAGAAAAATGTATCATTTTTTTCCTTTTTTTTTCTTTTTAAAGATATGAGATACTGGCTTCCATATCTGCCATGCTGCACGTTTATGACTAGAGAGGGCAGAAAGCTCTTAATTGTGTCTTTATCTGAGAACCCATCTCTTCTTTAACTGACTGGCCCATGTGTAAATAGAGGGCTCTTTATTATTGAAGAAGAGTATTGTGTTGGACTTTTTTTCTTTGAGTTCCTTTCAACTTGGGAAAAGAATTGTTTGGGTTTGATTTTTGTTTATGTCCAGAATAAGAAATAAGAGGGTATTAATAAGCTGAACATTTATATTACAGATATTCCTCTTGAAACATACACAGTAATATGCACCTTTTGTATTGTCAAGACTTATTCTATTTATTGAAGAAAATGTCACAGTAGTGATGTATTAAGCCAGTACTTCAATTACGGGTTGACTTGGGATGACATGTTACATGCTGTAGTTAACACACTTCTTTTCTGTTCAGGTATTTCTGTCCCTAAATAACTTTTTATTTAGCTTCTTTTTCTAGATAGCTTTATTTGATTTAGACTGGCAAATGTTTTTATTACTGCTTTTATATTGCTGTATGATATTGAAATCTCTTGGCATAAATATTTGTGTTTCCAGTACCTCAGTTGTTCTGATATTACTGCCTGTATACGTTTTGTGAAGTGGTCATGTTTTTTGGGTAGGTACATGTGGACTCTGTAGTATGTAAATGTTACTTGAATTTGTGCTTAATTATAGTATGTGGCATGTGCGTACAGCTACTTGGCATTTGACGTATGGATGCTATTTGCCTGCCTTGCAGGAAAGTTATGGTCCCACTCTCAAGAGGATGTTTCACAGTTCTTTATCAAGAGACAAAGCTAGCTGCAGCTGACCTGCCTTGGTTCTATTTTGGTAACTAAGAATATAAAGGAGTAATGTTTTTACACTCTGAAGATGGTGCTGTGTCAAGAAGGACTTTTTTTTTTATTTTATAAGTACCTTATAGGAGGAAAGATTGGTGATGTGCATGGTGGGGTTTTACTGCCTCTGGTGCTTTGTCATGTATTTGGTTTAATGTTTTTGTCCTAATCTCTTCAATAAATAAAATTGTGCATATTTAACTAAATTTCAGTGGTGAACGATGTTCTTACTGAATGTCTGAGGTGCTGCAGGAGTTTGCTCAGTTAGGATCATTTAGTGGTATTTTTTGTGCTGCCTAACAAGCTCTTGCCAGACCAGTGAGCTGAGACAACTTAGCACTTATATTTGCAAGGTAACACTGTAAGCCTTTTCACTGAAAAAAATTTACCATTTGCTATGAATAAAACTGGCTTTTATTTTGTTTATTTTCTTTTGTCTTGTCTCTACCACTTATGGAGCCCATTTACCTTGTTCAAGATGGGTAATGAAGTGCAACGAGAACTATGTCTTTTTGGTGATTGGAGGCTCTTTGCCTGATGAAGAAAGATACCACAATGGAGCAAGCTGGCACTTAACACTTCCAAAATGCTAGAGAAATGCATCTTGCATTTACACATCAGTTTCAGATAGGATGGGTCTGTAATAGCACCATCTAATTTACAGACTTTTACTTAAGGCCAGATACTGTTTCTGCCATTCATCTTGGATAAGAATTAGTAGATGCAGGTAGTGAGATCACTTAAGAGAGGCATGTGGAGTAGTAAGGTGCATTGTGAGCATGAGGCAAGACATGATGAATCCTGGCCCATTAGGAAAAGACCTTTTGAATTGGGCTTTGCTTTGAACCAGGACAGTCTTTTCAGCAGTTCTCTGGTTTGAAAAAGCTACAGGTGGCTGATGATCAGCCCTAAAGAAACTCCTCCCCAGCCCCAAAGCTCTCCACTTCAACATACGAACTGCTAGCCACAGGGATTACTGTCAGGCTAGCTAACTTTGTGCTATATAATTTCATCCTAGGTAATTCCTGGCATATGTTGAATATTTTAGTTGGTAGTTTGAGAATTAAACCCGTTGATTATAGAACCAACCAGAAAGGCTGTTAACGTGTAGAAACTCTTGACGATCAGTTTTTAAATGATTTGCATGCCTGCAGCCAAAGTTTAAATTAATTGAAACTCTTTCAAATCAAACTCCCACAATAAATGTGCTTTAAAGAAGAAAGCAGATTGTAATCAGTTGTAGAGAGAAGGGGGGGCAGGGGGAGTGCTGAGAATTTCCCTCTCCCCCACTAAAACTTATGCGAACGGCTTCTGTTCTGTTTGGGTGGAAGTAGTTAGACCTTATTTTACAGCAACTTGCATGCTTGCTTTTTCACTGCCAGTAATTATATGAAAAATGTGGCTGACTAATGATTGCTCGTTTGCAGTGAATTTTTTATTTGAGGCAAAAGCTTTTTTGGTGTTGCTGTGGAGGAATCCTTTGGCAGCTGAGATCAGCTTTATAAAATGCTGAAGGGATGCCCTGTTTTTGGAGCTTCCTTGTCCCTAAAGTGAAACCTGAGAGGGGGATCTGTGATTCAAACAGCTGATTTCTGACTCTTTTCATTCCTGCTTCATGGGTGCAGTAGAGTACGGGCATAACACTGCCTGCTACAGAAATGCTTCAGCAGCTTGCTTAGTGCTGTTCAACCCTTGATTTGGGCAGCAACTGCAGTGGGATGCGGGATTTTGCTGCACAGGGACTGTCAGATTGGTTTAGCTGCCTCCTGGTCCTGGGGGAGGGGATGAGCTTTCTACACAGTGCAGGGTGAAAAGCCATGTCTACAAACAAAGCCATTTCATAGAACGAGACCTTATGGCAGACTTTGGGATGGGGGACCCCCAGCACCTCTGTCTCCTCTACCCAACACAATTAAAAAAAAAGTAAAAATTATTCTTTTAAATTTGTTGTTTACTACAGCATTTATTTTGCCAGTGCAGCACTGTGTGTGATTGCAAGCTACAGGCTTTTTTCTTCAGAACTGCACAAACAAGTGACAATTACTCCTTTGACACCATGATGTCATATAACCGGATCCCTTAGCCTTACTGAGGTGTGCATGTGTTATGGGGATAAACAAGTCAATTAAAAATACATTCACTTAGAGATGAAATAACCTTGGGAAACCTGTGTATCTGGAAAGAGAAACAGTAAAACAAGCTTAACCCAAGCCCCTAAAACCCCAAACCTGTCAGTCAGAGAGAAAGGGTATGAAATCTGATGCCAAGGAAAAATTATTGGGAAGGGGGAAAAATAATATTCCTCATCCTGAAATGATTATGTTGAAATTTGGAAATGTACGAGTGAGCTCTGTGACTAATAGCATAATGAATACCAAAAGAATTAGTAATGATAAGTTTTTTATACTCAAAGTTTTGTTTAAGGTTTCTATGAAAGAACTTGCTAATTTAATAACTGACAAAATATCTAACAACTTTAGCTTGTAACTTTCCTATTCTTTCAGTAAAAGCAAATGTCGAAAATTGGTAACATGATGGGACAAATTGAAATCAAAGTGTAAGTAAAGCAGGGTATAAATGGCCTGTAATACAGTGTAATTCCATTGGAACATGAAAAACGACCGAGGAAATTTTCTTTAAAAAACACCAACTAAAATGAGGCCAGTTTTGGCACTGACTTTTTTTTTTTCCCCAATGTCCTTGATAGTTACATTCTTGGGACCAGTTTTCATGCCTCTGTTTCTGCTTTTTTTGACTTCTGAATTACGAAAATTTAGGCTATTTCCTTGAAATACTGATCCTTCTGCGATGCCTCCCCAGAAGCCTCTATACAAGGTTGAAACTCTAGGCCATATTTGGCTTGAAAAGTTTTAAATATATTAGTGAGTATATGTAAATGTGAGGAAAAATGTTTTTACTGTGATGGTAGTGTACATCCTGACAAACTCATCTGATTTTACTTGTGCTGATGTAAATGAGTGGATTCCATTTCTTAAGGACCTAAATGAAGCCTGACTTGTGTGCTGAGAAGTGTCATTTATTCTAGTTGTTATTCAAGTTCCTTTAGACTTCTGACTAAAAATGGCTGAGTATGGGAGTGGATCACATTGTTCTGGCTCTCCTGACTCTTTTGTGCAACATCCATAGCCAGCAGGGGAAAAATAAAGTAATCTTAGTGTGGCAGCTTGTGGAAAGTAATGGGTTAGCTACTGCATTTATTTCTGTTCAAGAGATTAAAGCATAGTTGCAAAGCTGGTGCTGACTTCATTCCAAGCATACAAAAAGCTGTCGTCAGTTATACAGTATATTGCAAGGTGTTTATCTTCATCTGATTAGGTTAGCGAAATGCATACTGCAAAGGCAGCACACAAAGGAGGAAATGGTATATTTGTGCTTATAACTTGACCTCTGACACTGGAGTCAGTCCTGGAAAGATTGAAACACTTCATGATTGATAAGACCTCTGTAAAAATCCGTAGAGTTACCATTGGACCTCACTTTTTCTCATCTTGATCTTTAAACACATCAGTGTTAAGCACTGAAGGAGGGTGTTGGGCACCCCCTCCTCGCAGGGAAATTGATGTCTGAATTTTTCTTCTCCACAAAACCAGTAAAAGTGACAAAGTGAAAAGGGATGTTGGGACACAGCAATGCAAATGCTAATCTTCTCTTCTGCATGCTCACCTAAGTGTGTGTGCTTTCAGTGAGCCCAGAGCAGCACCGCTACCTCCACTTCCCCAGTCTGCGGGAATGTGCTGGAGATGTAGAAAGCAGCAACAGGAAACAGGTATCTTCTTTCAGTTGCAACTGAGTGTACACCTAAAAGCAGACACTTCGACCTGTAAACTATAAATATCTGCGCAAGGGAACCAAGTGTGCTCTATGGGTCATGAGCCAAGGTCTTCAAGGTATGGGGCAGAGGTAGGTGTATGTTTCTGCTCATAATGAGACCTGACTCAACAACCCACACGTATTGTACTATACAAAGATGTTATTGCACACTTAGGTTCTATGCTTACCCTTAAAGGACAGTTTCAGTGTTTGCTCCGAGTACCTG